AGAGTCCTAATAGCTTTTCGTCTGTACATCCAGTTCTCTTTGAAGCTCACCTGTATTATCTCCAGGTGTCATAAGACATCCCATATTCTTATTAATATTATAGTTACTTAACTTGCTTGAGTCGGGCTTCTGTCATGTGCAACCAGAGTTCTAATATAAAAATTATGCCCAAACTAAAAATTGAATTGACAGTATGAAAATCCCTCTAGTTAGAAACAGCTCCCTAAAACTAACAAATAAGCTCTGATCTTATTTTAAAAATCAGCCACACTCTCCCAGGCTATCCTCAGAATGCAAAGATGTTGCTCTGTTGTCTCCTGTCTTATATAATTTCTGATGAGAAGTTTAATACATTTTTAAACTTTCCTTTGCATATGATGTTCCTTTGTATATAATGTTTCTTTTTTTTTCTGGTTGCTTCCAGCATTTTCTCTCTATCTTTGGTTTTTAGCACATTTGCTAGGCATGTGTGAGCGATATTTATTTTTATTTAAGGTTCTTTAAGCTTCTTGGATCGTGCTGTTTAGAAAATTCTTGGTCATTTAACTCCAAAATGTCTCCTGCCCTGTTCTTTTTTTTTTCTTCTGGGATTCCAGTTACAGGTATGTTAGAACATTTGATCTTGTTCCACAGCTTTATTAATATTGTACAATTCTTGGCCACGACTTCTTTAAAAATGTCTTCTGTTTGCCTTTGCTTTGTTGGTATTATAAAAAAAGTCTTTTGTTTTATTCTCTCTCTCTTCTCTTCCTGGGACTCTAGATACTTCAGGTGATATTGTACCAATATCAAATCTACACGAAGTCTTCTAGAAAATCAGAAGGAAAAAATTCCCAACTCATGTGAAGGCCAGCATTACCCTGATACCAAAATTAGACAAAGACACTAATAGGAAAATAAAACTCTCTCTCTCTAAATCCAATATCTCTCATTAAGACAAATGTAAAAATCCTAAATATTAGCAAATCATATTCAGCATCAGCTAGAAAGGATAATACATCACGACAAAGTGAAGCATATCCTAGGAATGTAAAGCTCAGTCAAAATTTGAAACTCAATCAGTATGATTCACCATATAAACAAATTAAATAAGGAAGCAATATGATGATCTCAATAGATGTAGAAAAATACTTGAAAAAATTTAATATTCATTCATGATATACATTCTCAACAAATTAGCAATAAAAGGGAAACTTTTCAATTTAATAAAGGGCATCTACCAAAAAAGTAAAGCTAACACGGAGAACAAGACAGAGCTATCTGCTCTCACTACTTCTACTCAATATCATACTGGTGTTCTCAGCCAGTGCAATAAGGCAAGAAAGAGAAATAAAAGGCATACAAATTGGAAAAGAAGAAATAAAACTGCTTCAATTTGCAAATAACATGATTGTCTACACAGAAAATAATACAAATGTACAAAAAAAACAAAGCTACTAGAACTAATAATTGAGTTTAACAAGGTTGTAGTATACAAGGTCAATACACACACAATAATTATATCCC